TTTCCGCCAGCAGCGGTAGAACACGCTCTTTCTGATCTCAACATCGGCATCGGCATCGACATCGTCAACATCATCATCATCATCGTAATCGTCGTCATCAATATTAACACCACAACCGTCATTACCATCACAACCACCACCACCAACACCATCACCACCACCATCGTCTTCATCACCATCATCATCATCATCATCATCATCATCATCATAATCATCATCATCATCATCTTCATCATCATCATCATCAACATCATCATCATCACCAACACCACCACCATCATCATCAACATCACCACCACCACCATCATCACCATCACCATCACCATCATCATCATCATCATCATCAGCATCATCAGCATCATAATCATTATCAACAACAGCAGCATCAACATCATCATCATCATCCTCATCCTCATCCCCATCATCGTCATCGTCATCGTCATCGTCATCATCATCGTCATCGTCATCGTCGTCATCATCATCATCATCATCCTCATCCTCATCCTCGTCATCGTCATCGTCATCGTCATCGTCATCGTCATCGTCATCGTCATCATCATCGTCATCGTCATCGTCATCGTCGTCATCATCATCATCATCATCATCATCATCATCATCATCATCATCTTCATTACCATCATCGGTCACCACTCCTCGACGCACCCGACGTTCGGGAAGAAGTTCCGCCCCCCCCCAGGAGAATCCAGAGTCGAATCGATAAGTCGGATCGGCGATCGAAACGAATCGGAGTGGGGGAAATCGGCAGCCGAAATGGGAGAACCCGAATCGGCGGAAATCGGCAGGCTAGCAAAAGCCTCCGCCGAGAAACTGAAAGCCATACCGGAATCCGCCGAACCCAATTCGAATCGGAATCGGAATCGCATGGAATCGGAGAAATCGATCTGAACCCTGCCGGAGATCTACTGACCCGGGTCAATCCAGACCTGAGCCAGCCTGGCTTTAAGAGATCCTGCAAAATCCTGCAGGATCCTGCACCCACGCCCGGGTCAAGGCACCCCTGGCCCCGCAGAATCCTGCAAGATCCGGCGCCCTGGCTGACCCTCGTTTGCAGTGAACCCCGTCCTTTGAGCCCTGACGAGTTGATCTGTCGGGAGCGTCCAAGTGGGGGGCGTCCAAGAGGCGGGGTGCGCAGATCATGGCCGTGAGCCGTCGGCACGTGCGCGGCACAGGGGGGGAGGGGGAGACGTATTGGAATGAGAAGCGGCGTCCTGATTCTGTGGATCTATCAGGGTCCGGGCTATGCAATCCCCCCTTACCCATCGGTCGGAAGAAGCAAGTAGAAACATGAAATAAGAAGGCGTCGAAAATATATTGGGTTCCGTCCGCCCCCTTAAGGAGGACGGAAAAGGTGAAGCAGGAAGGTCAACTTCAAGTAGATGGGAAGATGGGACTCCAGAATACCTACTTTCAACGACCGATGGTCAGTCATTCCCCCCCCTCCTCCTCCTCCTCCTCCTCCTCCTCCTCCTCCTCCTTTTCCTCCTTTTCCTCCTTTCAAAAAAAAAAGAGAAGACTTTCCTCCTTTTCTCTCCTCTTCTCTCCTCTTCCCTCTTCCTCCTCCTTCTCCTCCTCCTCCTTCCTCGTCCTCCGTCCTCCTCCTCCTGCTTCTCCAGCCTCCGCCTCCTCCTCCTCCTCCTCCTCACCCCCTCCTCCTCCTCCTCCTCCTCCTCCTCCTCCTTCGTCCTCCTCCTCCTCTCCTCATCCGCCTTCCCCCTCCGTCCTCTCAGAAATCCTCCTCCTCCTCCTCCTCCTCTTCCTCTCCCTCCCTACTCCTCCTCCTCCTCCTCCCTCCTTCCCGATGTCTGCTCCCCGCCCGGGGCTCCGCGGCGCCCGCGGCGCCGAGGCTCATGCACTTGCGCGTGGAGGGGCCTCTGCTGCGGGGGGCGCGCCGTCGAACGGGGCGGCGGCGGCCGCGGCCCCCCGCGCTGCACTGCCACCTCCTCTCTTGCTCCTCATTCCTGCTCCTGCTTCCTGCCCCTCCTCCCTCCTCGTCCTGCCTCCTGCCTGCTCCGCCTCCCTGCTGCTCCTCCCGCCTGCTCCTCCTCCCTGATGCTCTCCTCCCTCCTATCCTCCTCTTCCTCCTCCTCCTCTCCTCCTCCTTGTCCTCTCCCCATCGTCTTCGTCCTCGTCCATCCTCCTCGTCCTCGTCCCTCGTCCTCGTCGCCGTCTCTCGTCCCTCAGTCCTCCTCTCCCTCCCTCCCTCCTCCTCCGTGCCGGCGCCGCCCGCCGCCGACTCCTCTCCTCCTCGTCCTCCTCCTCCTCCTCTCTCCCTCCATCCTCCCTCTCCTCCTCCTGCTCCTAACGTCCTCCTCTTCTTCCTTCTCCCTCCTTCTCCTTGCATCCTCTTGCTCCCTATCCTACTCCTGCTCTCACCTGTCCCCCTCCTCCTCCCTTTCCTGCTGCTCCTCCTCCCCCTCTTCCTCCTCCCTTTCCTGCTCCTCCTCCTCCTCCTCCTTCCCACTCGTGCTCCTGCTCCTCCTCCCTCCTGCTGCTGCTGCTGCTGCTGCTGCTCCTCCTACTCCTCCTCCTCTTTGTCCTCGTCTTCGTTTTCGTCCTCTTCGTCCTCGTCCTCTCCTCCTCATCCTCCTCCTCCTCCTCATATCTTCCTCCTCTTCCTCCTCCTTCTCCTCCTCCTCGTCGTCCTCCTCCTCATCCCCCCGCCCCCTCCTCCGTCCTCGCTCCTCCCTCTTCCGTCATCCCCTCTCTGCCCCCATCCTCTTTTTCCGCCTCAATCCTCCGTCCTCCTCCTCCCACCATCCTTACCGACACCCGCGAATGGGACCCCTGAGGCGGCCAGAATGGTTGGTCGATCGCAGCCGCGCGCCAGTGACACCGCCGCTTTCGGCGAGGAACCCCACTTGATGGTAAGTAGTTAAATCAAATGATCCGCCAACCCCCTTGTGGGGCCACCAGGCTGTAGGGCGAAGGTTCGCAGTTTCCTGTACCAGTTGCAGCTTCCAGTTTCCACTGTTACAGTTCTGCTTCTTGCTGCTTACTGTTCCTTGTTGATGGACCGCGCGAGGGGGGGGAGGCCCCAAAGGGAAGATTTAGCACGCCCTGAGCGTGTGCTCTGAATTGCTGGGGTGGGTAAACATTGACACCTCTCACGCAGATCGGCGGGTCAGGGTCCAAAGACACATGGGGATTTGCTATATTTCTGACATTCGGTGGCACCCATCACGCAGATCGGCGGGGTCAGGTTCCAAAAACACATGGGATTTGCAACATTTCTGACATTCGGTGGCACCCCTCACGCAGATCGGCGGGGTCAGGGTCCCAAAACACATGGGATTTGCCACATTTCTGACATTCGGTGGCACCCCTCACGCAGATCGGCGGGGTCAGGGTCCAAAAATACACATAATTTGCAACATTTCTGCCATTCGGTGGCACCCCTCATGCAAATCGGCGGGGTCAGGGTCCAAAAACACATGGGATTTGCCACATGTCTGACATTCGGTGACACCCCTCATGCAGATCGGCGGGGTCAGGGTCCGAAAACGAACGGGGTTCTCAACATTTCTGAAATTCGGTGGCACCCCTCACGCGGATCGACAGGGTCAGGGTCCAAAAACACATGGGATTTGCTACATTTCTGACATTCGGCGGCACCCCTCACGCAGATCCGTTGGGTCAAGGTCCAAATGCACAACGGATTTGTCACATTTCTGAAATTCGGTGGCACCCCTCACGCAGATCCGTAGGGTCAGGGTCGAAAAACAAACAGGTCCCGACACTGCTTCACGGCGGCGCCCAGACCTCATGATTTAGCTTTTGCATCTCCCATTCTCCGAGACAGGGGGCCGGTGGCATGGGGCGAAGCCCCTACGGACTATCAAGAGGAAGAAGAGGAGGAGATGAACCAGTGCAAATTCAAGACTCATCAACGAAATTGATATACATCCTCCCTCCTAGATCCCTTCTCGTAGGCCTCTATAAGAAAGAGCCAATTCCACTGAGGGAAATGTCCCGTTGGGGCAACCGTGTGAGAATCTTGAAGTGTGCCCAAAACGCAATGTCCAGGACGTTCGCGCCACGAATTAACCCCACTGTTACGTCTTGGCGATCTTGAGCCGTGCCAGCGCACCATTCCCAACACTCCAATTCTGACACGTGAATTATGACAACCATTGGAACTCCTGCGGATGTTCTAGCGGATGTGTGCTGTACCTAGGCGAGAACCACATTTTGAAAAAGAACCGCCCTCAATCCGTGAAACCCTTGTAACATTTGAGAACGATTCTGCGCGGCGCTAAGGCGAGAACCACACATTGAAAACGACTCGCCCTCAACCCGTGAAGCTCTTGCAACTTTTAAGAACGAATGTGCGCGGCGCTAAAGCGCGAACCGCATCTGGAAACCCACCCACTTCAATCTGTAAATGAAACTCATGCAAAAGTTACAACGGATGTGCGCGGCGCTAGAACGAGAACCGCACGTGGAAAACCACCAGCCGTCAATCCGTGAAGCTCAAAGCGCGCGGCGCTCAGGCGAGAACCAAATCTTGAGAATTTACCCGCCCTCAATACGTGAAACTCTTGCATGTTTTTCCTTACCTAGGCTCTGCCTAGAAGGGTTCTTACCCTCTTTCTTAAAGGGGCCGGGCAATGGATATCGCCCCGGGCGGTTCCCCCAGGATCCGCCCCGCGGTTCCCCCAGTTGCGTCCCCTTAGCTTAGCGTTGCTTATCTCATCTTAGCTTGGCCTAGCTTAACTTAGCTTAGCTTAACTTAGCTTAGCTTACTTAGCCTAGCCTAGCTTAGCTTAGATTAGCGTAGCCTAGCTTAGCTCAGTTTAGCTTAGCGTATCATTAGCATATCATAGCATAGCGTAGCGCAGTATATCATAGCATAGCACAGCATAGCTTAGCATAACACAGCGCAACATCGTATAGCATAACATAGCATAGCATAGAGCAGCAGATCATAGCATATCATAGTGAAGCATCGCATAGCGCAGCATCGTATAGCATAACATACC